AGGGGTTGTGTGGATTCTTAATAAGGCTATAGGTAAACATTTGGTCCTTGGCAATTTAGTCTCCAAAGCTAATTTAGACAAATGCTTTTTCAAAGTTTGATTCATCCTTTCCACCTTCCTTGACAAAAGGGGGTGCCATGGGGTATGGAAATTCCAGTTAATATCCAATCCCTTCATGACATCCTGCAAAACTTTAGAAGTGAAGTGACTCCCATTATCAGAATCAGTGCCTTCAACTAGGCCATATTGGGGAATAATTTGTTCTAGCAGTATTTTTGAGGCCCCATAGCTGTGGTATTGGACAGGAGGTATGCTTCCACTCAATGAGTCAAATGATCTATTTATAACTAGAAGATATTTGAACTGCCCCACCTTCAGGAATTCAGTGAAGTCCAGCTGTATGCTCTGAAATGGTTGGAGGTCAGGACTCTGCCCTCCTGCAGCTGATTTCCTCATTACTTTATTATTTACTTTTCTACAGATTATACACCCCTCACAAATTTGTCTTGCCACTGTGTAGATACCTATACATCCATACTCTCTTTTTAAAAATTTTTTATTTTTATTTTTTTTATTACACCCAAGAACCCCAGTGGCCATCTTGGTGGAGAATCTTCAACAGTTCTCTTGCCACAGCTTTATTAATCATCTTCCTTCCATCTGGAAGGATCTATTTCCCTTTTTCAGTCTCAACAGCCCCAGTTTCCCTTAAATGCTCTTTTTCTGATTCTTTGAAAGAAGGAGTCATCCTAATTTCTGATATGTGTGGAATTAGGACTTGCATTTTTGTAATCTCAGCATCACTGGCAGCTTCCTTAGCTTTTTCATCCTCCAGTCTATTTTCTTTTGCCTCAAAGCTACCTCTCTTTTAGTGTCCAGGCGTATGCACAACAGTGCAGCTTCAAATTTTTCAACACTTCTTTGATCATTTCTCCATGTACCAGTTCTTTCCCTTTGCTAGTTATGAATCCTCTTTCTACCCTAAATATTCCAAAGACGTGCACCACCCCATATGTATATCTGGAGTCTGTGTATATGGTTCCCTCTTTGTTGTTTAAGAGCCTCAAGGCCTGATTTAGAGCAAAGATTTCACAAGTTTGAGCTGACTACGAAGCTGGCAGTTTCCCCATTTCTTTTACTGATCTACCCATTCCATGTATAACTACATATCTCGTCTATCTTTTCTCTTCTGCTGCCCAGGATGACCCATCCACAAAGAGACGTTCCCCAGCAGGGAGGGGACTGTCTGCTAGATCAGGTCCGACGTTGGTTTGATAACAGATAATATGCAAACAATCATGCTCTATGTTTGGTGGAGTACCCCCTCTCCTTGACAGAGAGGAGTCCAGATTCACGTGAGATTCCGTACTTAACACTAAATCATCCTTTTCAATCAAAATGGCTTCATATTTTAGGGTCCTGCCTGCCTTTTGTTTCAAAATATTACTGACTTGATGGGGAGTGGAGACTATTAATGCTTCCCCAGCTGTTAGCTTTCTGCTTTCTTCTACTAGGGTGGCAATTGCTGCTACTGTTTAGACACATTCTGGCCATTCTCGGGAGACTGGATCTAGCATTTTTCTACCAGTCTCCTCATTCCTCCCCAAGTTTGGGCCAACACCCCCAATGCTATTCCTTTTTCCACCATCACAGATAGGTCAAAAGGTTTATCAAGGGAAGGGAGATCTAGAATGGGACTTGGGTTAGAGACTGCTCCAGGTTCTTAATTAGTTCTAACTCTACCTGATTAGATCTGGTTCTTCATCTAATAATTTAGAGTATAATGGCTCGGTTCTCTGGGCATACCAATCTATCCAGAGCCTATAATACCTGACCATTCCCAACAACTTCCTGAGTTCCCTCTTGGATTTTGGGATGAGGGTTTCGATAATTCCTTTAATTCTTTCAGGACCTATTTTTCTTTTCCCTTCACTAATCAAATGTCCCTCATTTCCCACAAATGGTAACTTATTCTTAGATATCCTTAACCTCTATGATCCTAAGAAGTTCAACAGTTGTACAGTAGCTTCAGCCGCTTGTTTTCTCTTCTGGCCTGACACCAATATATCACCTACATACTGCAACAAGATAATTCTACAGGGAATTAGAAAATTCTCCAGCACTCATTCCAAAACTTGCCCAAATGAATTGGGGGACTCTGTAAAACCCTGAGGTAAAACAGTCCACTGGAATTGCTGTTTTCTCCCTTTATAAAGATTTTCCCACTCAAAAGCAAAGAGTTCCCTACTTTCCTTTTAGAAAGGACAAGCCCAGAAGGCATCCTTAAGATTGACTACACTGAACCAGTTATCCTCGTAAAGGATTTTTCCCATCAAGGCATATGGATTTGGAACTACAGGGTGTCTAGTGGCCACAATTCTGCTCACAGCCCTAAGATCCTGTACCAATTGATAAGAACCATCAGGCCTGCCCAGGTAAAGGGGGGACATAGGAAGGCAGGAGGTTCTTAAGGGGTCCCATAAGGACTCCTTCTCTTTGCTGGGTCCCCCTCCTTCCTTCAATTTTTAGAGGAAAGACCTTGGAGGTTGCCTCCCCTTTCCAACAAGAGGCATAATCACTCTCCTCTTGACGAAATGGTTTCTTTTCATTCATATTGATATTTAATGCTTGCCATGTCCAGTCCTCATTGGCCCTATACTTGGGCCAAAACACTGCTGGATGCGTAATGCTCTCCTTAGGCCAAATAACACAAAGAAACTTAGTCATCTGTTTCCCATTCTTACCTTGCTCTGTGCACAGACTTGAGCAGTAGCCACAGTTTTTCTCCCATTCCTCACTTGTGTCTCTCTGCCGTGCTCTAAATTGAAGTCTTGAGTCTGGGCAGTCAGAAGGGAGGACACTCACCAATGACCCAGGAAGCCACTGATCTTAGCGGGGCATGCCTCTCTGTCCTTCGGTTGGCAGTTGCCCTCTTCCTTTGTTGCTTCAGATTCTGGACGAGCCCCAAAATTGTTAGAAATATCTTCTATAGGAAAGACGAAGACTCCCGGGGTAGATGAGGCAAGCTTATTTGTTATACATTCTTGCAGGAAGCTGGTGTGCTGCTAGAGGCAGACACATATGCAGAAGTGAAAGCAGTTATATCCCTGGAAATGCAAGGTCCCTCCCTTGTTTCTCCATTGACTAGATACTTTGAGGTATATAACTTCCTGGAATGCCTACTTCACATTGCTCCTTAATGTGTCTTCCCCCACTATATACGTCACATGTATGACAATGGTGGATGGCTCCTCCTTAAGGGAGAAGTTAATATTCATATCCCAATTAACATGCATAGTTGTTTTTGGATTGAGATTTTGTCCTGCTTTCTACATTTTCAACCACACTGCTGGTTTCGGCTGGTTCCTTCTGATTCTACATATTGCTAAAAACAATTCTGAGTAAAATTGCTCCTTTTGCCCCTGTAGACACTTCTGAGTTCTATGGTTAGGACCACTTCCTCTGCCTCTGTGGAAACATAATTTTCTATACCTCACAAGTGGAAAAAAGAAAAGGGAAAGCAGGTGGTCTTAGTGATAAGTGAAAGGGACTAACAAACTGCAGATGCCCCTGATTAGGAACAAAATGATTCCTCTCTAGAGTACCTGTGGTTTTCCAGCCCCCTCCCCCCCAGTTAAGTATAAGTTTACACTTATATGGTGCTTTGTTATTACAGAGTGTTTCCCGTATCCTATGTCTTTTGATCCAATAGCTCCTAAAAGTAAGTGGCATGAGTATCATCTCCATTTTTCCTAGAATAAGAGAGTCTAGAACCAGACAGAACTTTTTAAAGAGATAATTTAGGTGAAAAATAAGTGGCTCCTGGTACTTAGCTCACAAAAATCCTGTCGTGTATTATCATCTGCGTTTTACTTCATGCCTTCTGGATTCCAAATCCAGTGCTCCTCCCACTATATCACAGAAAACCCAGGATCAGAAAGATGCAGTGTCTGCTCATGTTACACGGCAGAGTTTGGGGAGGGAACTACTCATATCTCTGAGCTTCCCAGTCTAGTAGTCTTTCTACTATCTCATGTTACTTCCCAAATAGTGTACCTGGAAGGCTCCTTTCTGTTTTCTAAATCCAAGATTCCTATTTTCCCAAAATTTTGCATTGGATTTAACTTGTCATACCACCTCAGCTGGTTACTTACCTGTGTGACCTTAGGCAAGTCATTTAGCATCCATGAGTCTCAGCTTCCTAATCTGTAAAATGAGGGAGTTTAGAATGGATGCTTTCTGAGCTCCCCTCCAGTTAAAACATTTTGTGTTCTAAGATCCTTTTTCATTTTAAATCTTCTCTCTCTCTCTCTCTCTCTCCTCTCCGCACATACTCACACCCACACCCCACATGTATACTCTGTATATGTGTACATATGCACACACATATAATATTTCAAACAGCACATAATGAAAGTCATGGTTAAAGGAGGTGAATAGAAAATCAAAGAAAATGATAAAATTTTGAATTTTTAAAAAGTAGCTGAAGACTAGATTCTATAAAATTTGCTGTAAAAGTTTTGTTTTCTTGATTTGAGAAAAGGGGTATGGACAAGCATAGCCTAAGTAGGGGACTGAATTAACAATGTTATCTCATTTCCTGGTAAGGTATGGCTGTCAAAGATGAGGCACTAGCTAGACCAAATGGTGGTATGATGAAGGATAAATAGGACCCAAATGTTTATGTAGGGACTATGCAATAAAGTACTTTTGGGGGAATTCATTAGGGGCCATCAGTTCAGTCCTGAAAACTCACATAATGAAAAACATCACACCTTCATAATGGGCTCTCTTCAATGTAATGTAAATTTGTTTTTAATCCGAGTGAAGTTGGAGGTAGTTCACTTAATTAAAGAAGTAAATTTCATGTTATCATTATCTGTAACTTAATCACTTTTCTTTGCGAGGACTGTTTTCTGGGGAGCTGGAGACTATTCCAAGTCTCTAAGAGAAGGAATGATTAGGTTTTGACACTCTCCCCCCCCTTTTTTGTCCACTAGGAAACCTGCAGACCTGCAGAACTTGGCTCCAGGGACTCACCCACCATTTATAACTTTCAACAGTGAAGTCAAAACGGATGTGAACAAGATTGAGGAGTTCCTTGAGGAAGTCTTATGCCCACCTAAGTGAGTATCAAAGACAAAATGATGCATGGAAATAGTGCCACAATTTTCTTTTCTTTTTTCTTTTCTTTTCTTTTCTTTTCTTTTCTTTTCTTTTCTTTTCTTTTCTTTTCTTTTCTTTTCTTTTCTTTTCTTTTCTTTTCTTTTCTTTTCTTTTCTTACTGGATAGATGGAACAACTGGTCTTTGAAAAAGAGAATCCTGTCTCCTGATACATTAAACAGACTTTACATCTGGTTAATGTGCAAATGCCAAATTATTTTAACAGTAGTCATATTAGGAGTAAATAAGAGCCTTTGCTCCCAAAGTATTGACTTTCTGTTGAATGTAAGTGAAGGGTTGTCTGAACTGGTGCTTAGACGGTGGTGGGATGAGCTACATCAGGAGGGTTGGCTGGACCCAGGAGAGGGGAGGGCCTGAAGTGTCAGGGCAGGTGGGTCTGAGAGAAGGACTTGCAGAAGCCTGAATTAAAGGCAGGTTCAGAGCGGAGTCCATGGGAAAGGGAGCAGCGGTGCATAGATGTCATTAGCTAAAGGCCCAAGCGGGGCAGCCGGTTGGAGAATGTCCATCACACAGCAGTAATCACTTAGGCTTCTACAATGCTTTAAACATCACAAAGTGCCTTATCCACCACTACCCTTTAGTGAGGTCATGCACATGTTATTATCCCAGTTTTATGTGCAGTTAGTTCACATTGGGTAATTTACTCTAGCTAGAAGTGGTCTTTTCCTCATCTCATCTTTTACCCCTTTATTATATGCACCCATTTATATTTGTGTTCATGTCTTGTCTTCTTTTTCTCTTCCCCCTACTAGATTATAAGCTCTGTGAGATAAGGACCAAGATTTATTTATCTCTGACTCTTCCTTGCCTAATACATAGTACTTAATGTTCAGCTGAATAATTTAAATCTGTAGATAATTTCAGACTTTAATTTAAGTGATAGCTTTGGTGTTCTCTAATAAGGGTTTTATTGGTGCTACTAACAAAGAGCATCATAGAAAGTCCGAGCTGGGAGGGGCCTGAAAATGTACATAGATGGTCAGAGTTGTAAGAGACCTTAAAATATAAAATAGCAGAACTGATAAGACTTTAGTCCAGAGGCTGTTAAAGGGGACCTTAAAACATGCAGTGTCAGAGCTGGAAGAACCTTTAGCCCATAGAAAGTCAGAGTTGGAAGTGTCCTGATTCCAAACCTTTACTCCTCAAGCCCTCCCTGTGCCCTCCTGCTATCCTCCTCAACACCCCTTCCTTCCCCCAGTCAAGGGCTTTATTTCTTACTTTACTGAAAAAATTGAGTCCATTCCACGTGGCCTCCCTCTTCTCCCATTCTCTCTATTTTAGATTCCCTTGACGTCATCTCCCACTTCCCTTGTTTGTGACAGAGGTGGCTCTTCTTGACAGGGTGAACCCCATTACATATAACTGTATTTCATCTTCTCCCATCTCGTGCAGTAGATTAACATGGTTAGATGCCATAGAGTAGGGAGCAGTGCCGTAACTGTATATGGGTTGTAAAGGCCATTAGGACCTCCTCCATCCTTATCACAGGGAGTGCTAACCTTCTCTCCATGATTACATCTTCAGTCACTTTTCCTTTTTCTAGTCTTCAGTCAGTCAAATCAGTAAACATTTATAAAGTGCCTACTATGTGCCAGGCACTGTAGGGATACTGCAAGAGGCAAAAGATACTTACTGGCTGTGTGACCCTGGGCAAGTCACTTAACTCCAGTTGCCTCGCCAAAAAAAGAAAAAGAAAGACAGAGGCAAAAGACAGTGCTTTTCCTTGAGGAGACAACATGCTAACAAATATAAACAGAGCAAGCTCTGTACGAGATAAATAGGAAATAATTAGTAGAGGGGAAGCACTAGAATTAAGAGGGGTTGGTTGGGAAAGGCTTACTGTAAAAGATGGGATTTTAGTTGGGATATGAAGGAAGCCAGGGAGGTCGGTAGATGAAGCGGAGGAGGGAGAGTGTTCCAGGCATGGGACAGCTAGAGAAAAGGCCTGGAGCAGCCAGGAGACCAGTGTCACTGGATTGAAAAGTATGTGTCAGGGAGTAAGGTGTAAGAAGACTGGAAAGGTAGGAGAGGACTGGGTTAGGAAGGGCTTTGAATGGCAAACAGAGCTTTTAGTATTTGATCCTGGAGATAGTAGGGAGCCACGGGAGTTTATTGGGGGGCAGCAGTTGATATGATCAGATCTGTGCTTTAGGAAACTCACTTTAGTGGCTGAATGGGGGGATGGATGGGATTGGGGAGAGACTTAAGGCAGGCAGACCCACCTGCGGGTTATTGCAGTAGTCCGGGTGTGGAGTGATGGGGGCCTGCACTGGGGTGGTAGCAGTGTCAGAAGAGAGAGAGGGATGTATTGGAGAGGTTTTGCAAAGATGGAATCAGGGGACTTTGGCAACAGCTTGGATGTGAGCGGTGAGAGAGAGTGAGGATCCAGGATGACTCCTAGCTTGAGACTGAGAGGATGGTGTTGTCCTCCATGGTAACAGGGAAGGTTGGAGGGGTGGGGCAGGGGACAGGGAGGGTTTAAGGGAAAGATCATGAGCTCCGTTCTTCACCCTCTCCTGGCGGCTGAGGCCTTCCAACAGGCCAGCTTCCCCAGCCTTAAAAAATGCCCTCTGGACATTCCCTTCTCTGCATGCCTCCTCTTCCTTCATTAATTATCTCCACTTGTTGCTACTTCTTTTTTTACATGATCCTCAGTCTTTTGCAGTGGGACTTCTGACCTCATCACTCAGCTGAAACAGCCCTTTCCATAATTATGGGTGATTTCTTAGTATAGGCTTTTCCCCAATTACCTATAAAAATAATTTTTAACATCAGTTTTTTTTAAACTTTTGAGTTCCAATTCTTTCTCGCCCTCCCCATCCCCCTCCCTAAGACGGCAAGTAGTTTTATATAGGTTATAACATGTTAGGATTGAAAGTAGCAAATCATGTTACTGGCGAGTGGGGGGGTTGGGGCTTCATCTGGGAAAATAAGGCAACTCAAGAAAACAAGTTCAGGGGCCCCCTCCTTAATGTGTAGTCATTAGCATAGGCTCTTTAAAAATCATATATTTTTATTGTTTTCTAATTAACAAACAACAATTATTCTCCCCCCCCCGCCCCTCCCTTTTACCCCAATGGTAAAAGAGAAAGGAAGCCCTTTTAACAGCTATAGGTACTTAAAAAAAGAAACAAACAAATTCCTTCACTGGCCATGTTCAGAAGTATTATTCTGTATCTTGAGTCCATCCCCTCTCTGTCCAGAGGTGGCTAACATGCTTCATCATTGGCCCTCCAGGATCGTGGTTGGTGATTACAATAATCAGAGTTGCTGAGCCTTTCAAAATTTTTTGTCTCTACAGTGTGGTTGTTGTGTAAATCATTCTCCTTGTTTCTGCTCACTTCACTTTGCCTCAGCTCATACAAATCTTCCCAAGTTTCTCTGAAACTTTCCCTCTCATCATTTCATACAGTGCAGTAATATTCCATGATATGCATACACCATCCTTTGTTCAGCCCTTCTCCCAATAGAAGGAAACCTCCTTAGCTGCTAGATCTTTGCCACTACCAAGAGTGGCCTAATTTTTGTTCATGTGGGTCCTTGTCCTCTTTGTTTGATCTCTTGGGAGGCTGGGGAGGCACAGGCCTCATACTGCATTGCTGGGTGAAGGCTATGGACAAAGGGCTTTTAGTGCATTGATCAGTTTCTAGACTGAACTTGGTGCTACCTGGAGTCTGGTCCCCATATTTATCCTTAGCTTCAGGTCAAAACTATGCACTTCATGCCTACCTCCAATTCAGAGGGGTTCCCTGGTCCAGAACCCATAATGTGCTTGGGCTTGTAGAGTAGGTAGATCTTGTCCTGTCTCTGAAACCAGCTCCAGAGAAGACTCCCAAAGTAAAAAGATCTTGCCTTTAGGGCAGGGGTGGTAGCATGTCTGCTCTACAGCAGTGAGGTTTTCCAGGCTGCAGGGGGACCTGAAATTCCTGTTCTCCCTCTCCTACGCAGCTAAATGTATCATCCATTAAACAGAGCCACTTAAAAAAGAGGAACGGATTTTTAATGGCCACTTTCTGCAGAATTCAGAATAGAGATTATTCGCTTTGGCGTGTTTTTACATCATAGGTGGTAAATACCTATACCAGGTGAAACCGTCCTCCTGATAAAAAGCCTGTTCTGGGCACAGATTGTGAGGTCCTGTTATTTAATTGTTACATTGTATATCTTTCAATAACATATCTGAAAGATATTCACTTGCTTGGCTAGTTACAGTAGTCAAATCAATTGACTTAATAGCTAGCAAATAATTATTATCTATGATCCACTTCATCCCCTGTGGACATAATCAGAGATTTTTGGAAACAAATGAAATATATTCAGTCATCTCACTATTAAAAAATATGTTAGAACAAAAAAGCCTTTTATATTATTAATAAAATAAGAAAGTAAGAATATTTAAAATATTTTATCATCCTTTAAAATGTCCATTTTGTATGTCTTATGATAGAGTATAATATAATATAATTACCTATTAATAAACTGGTACATGTATGTAATTTATAAATACACACATATTGGGAGTGGGTGCTGAAACCTTTTTGTCCAGTCAAAACATGGGACCACTTAGAGGCTGTCCCTTCTGCAGCCTGTTTTCCCCCCTCCTCCTCCCTGAGGAATCCTCACTCCTGTTCTGCCTCAGTCACCCTCCTTTACTCAGAAAACTCCAGTAGCCTGCTGGCTTCCAAATCCAATGATCCTGGCACTTAAGGGCCCGTGTGGCCCCTGGTTCCCGAGTACCTTTCTAACCTCGTGCTGTGTTGTTCCCCTTCACACATTCTCTCTTGCTGCCAAACTAGATCATTCTCTATTCTCTGGCCCACCTCCTAGTCTGAGCTCACGCCTTCCGTTTGCCTGGAATAAATTTCCTCCTTCCCTGCTCCTGCCAGCCTCCACCTTTCAGCCGAGGGCCAGCCGAGGAGCTGCTTCCTTCAGTGCAGGCTT